CCCCCCCCCCGCCATTGGCTCCCCACTTCTCCTGTGCAAGGTTATTTTTTTAAATAGCAAATCCTTTCTGAGCCCTCTATGCGACCTCTGTTGCTGAATCTCCCCCGCGTGTGCAAGAAAGGCAGAAACAAAACCGAATAACAACAGAAAACTACTTTTGGTTTTTGTCCTTGATCAAAATTTGCATTGCTTTTTTTCTCCCCTCTCCACACCTCCCCCCCCCCCATCTCCCTTTCTCTCTCTACAGATAGCCTTAGAGACTATTTTAGCAAATTTGGAGAAATTAGAGAATGTATGGTCATGCGAGACCCCACCACGAAACGCTCCAGGTAAACCATTCTCTTCGGAATTTCGCCTATATTTTAGAGCAAAGTTTTAGTTTTATATTTGGAGGTGTCTTCGGACGTAGCTGAGCGGGACTCAGGCTTGAGGGTGGTTTCAGATGTCGTTCTATTCGCCGCCCCCCCCCCTTAACCCTAAAGGTTATTGTTAATTGGGACTGAACTCCGGATCCGGAGATGCCCCCGTCTCCTCGTGAAATCGCCTTCCCTACGTTGCCTTTTCTCCGCTTTAAAATGACATTTAGATTGATGGACTCCTCCGCGGAGTTTCTGTTTTCACGTCCGCGTCCCCCATGCCCCCAGTTCCCCAAACTCCAAAGCCCCTTTTTAGAAAGGTGGCGAAGCTCTCCCGAGTGCCGAGCTTTCTCCGGAATAAAACAAAGCGTTAAGAAAGGGAAGGGGAGGAGGGGGAGAGGAAACTGAGGTGGCGAAAGAGTGGAAACACCAGTATTTACCGAGTTACCTCCCCCCGCCCCACTCGCCCCGTTATCCTTGATATTTTAGCTGGCTGGGTGGGGAGCTGCAGGATGGAGGGGAACTGGAGGAGGGCGGTAGGAGTGGGGAGGGTCTGTAGGGGGGGGGGTTAACTTTTGCTCCCCGTTCTGCATCAAAGCTCACTCCTTGTTGCTTTTAAGGATGTCACATTGTCTTGTTGTTTATTTTTCTCTGCCTTTGTCTCATTTCAGAGGCTTCGGGTTCGTCACGTTTGCCGACCCAGCGAGTGTAGATAAAGTATTAGGTCAGCCCCACCATGAGTTAGATTCCAAGACGGTACGTGGTCGCTTTTTGTTGTTGTTGTTGTTGTTGTCCCCTTTGCAAGAACGGTCTGGGCATTGACAGCCTCATTTAAAGGCACAGCGCCTGCTTTTGCTTCTCAGCTGGGAGCTGGGTACTGTAGGCAGAGCTTGCCGAGTTGGCTCAAAAGTTTACTGTCCTTGCTGGGTTTGGGGTTTGCTCTCCCAGGCCTGCCCCAAGGCAGCTTCTGTGCTGCCCTGCAGAGGCTTGGGGGCCCGGGGCTGGTCCGGCTTGGGGAGGGGTTGTCTTCCCAGCCAAGGACCTTGCGGGAGAGGGGGGAGGGGGCAACTCCACGGGAGAGCAAATGCAACTTTTCTTTGTCACCTGAGCATAGCACAGGATGCCAACTGTGGTGGTGGGAATTGGCCTTTGGAAGGCACAGCCTGCTTCATGGAGGTGGGTTGGGAAGGGGCGGGAAGGAGAGGAGGGGGCGCTGATCACAGAGCTCGGCAACAGGTCCCTCTTGAGGCGCTTTGGTGAGGAAGGAGGTTTTAAGAACGGAAAGCGCTGGACATTCAGTGGGCGCCTCCAGATGGCGTGAAGTTTATGGAAGATAAGGCCCTGAGTTTCAAAGTGATACCCTCTCTCCCTCCCTCTTTTTTTTTTTGCTCCCTTTGTCAGATTTTAAAAATCTGTGTGGATACATCCATAAAAATGTGGAGGTCTCTAACTATGGAGCAAGCTAGGAGAGAGTCTCTAGGTAGAGATCCGAAGAGTGGTGGACAATAAAATGTAATGGGGGCCAGTTGTCCGGTTTTATTTTGCTCCTGTAGGGGCTTTGTGAAGCCCCTCCCATCCTTTTGTGTGGCTTAGAACCTCCCTGTGATTTTATTCACCCACCTAAAGCAGGGACCCCTGAGGTGACACTGAGATGTGGTGTTGGGTTGCCCGGGACTTGGTTTGTTTGTGGTTGGGGTGGGGGGACCACCGGGCAAGAGCCAGACTGTAGTTTCTAGCTGTCCAGTCCTCCCCTGCCCCGTGCCTCGGGGCCTCAGTTTCCTCTCCCATTAAATCCAGGAGTGGACTGAGGGGATTTTCTAAGCCCCGACTGGAAGAAAACCAAATCAAACCAAATCCCGGCCACCTTTTGGTGTACTTGAAAATGCTTTCGCAGATTCAACTGCTTTCCCTGGTCAAGGGAGTTGGGGGTGTGCATCCACAAACACCCATCCCAAGAGGGGGAGGACCAGCCAGCCATACACTCTCTCAGTTTTATGAAATGTGCTGGTCTTGTCCTAGCTTTCGGCCCAGCCTTTTTGCACTGGGAGAGAATTTCGTATCAGGGATAATCATCTGTGGGGTGATAACGATGTCCGAACAGTCCCCCCCCCTGTTATTTTTGGGGGCTACATATTTTAAAAATCGAGTGAAATGAGAAGGAAAATATTTTGAGATAATTTTAGCAATTTATTTCCTTCCCCCTCCCCTCCTGAGAATAGTATTTGGTTTCTTGGTGGCTCTTGGGTCACATGCCTCAGTATCAGGTGCAAAGCCTGCAGTTCTCCCCACCTCCCACCCCCCACCCCCAAGTGTGTTTGTAGATGCGGTTTGGGAGCGATTATTCAGTATAACCTAGCTTTTGACTTTGTTTTAACGTTCAGTGCAGGAGGCAGAAGCGATTGGTTTATTCACATGGAAACGAGGATCTTGTTTACAGTTACCTTAAAAGCTTTGTTTAGGTAACGGCCATTCACACCCAAAATAGTACCCTAGTTTTTCCCTAGAGGACTTGTAGCTACAGTAAGTAGAGCTATACCTAACTAACTAATGTTTTAATTTTTGATAGTGTTCTTCTTCATCTTCTTTATTTTTTTTTAATTTAAATAGCGTGACAGGGATGTGCAAAAGGTTGAGGTTTGCCATTCTTTGACCCTTCCTCTCCCATTTGGGGGTGTAGGCTGTGTACCCTGAAGAACAAGGCTTGTGGGTTTACACTCAGGCGGGGCGCCCACAGGACAGCCTCCTGAATTGGCTTTTAATTTTGCAATGTTCATGGCCTCCTGCCCTGCTATTTCCTGGCCTCTCCTACCTGTTCACTCACCGTTCATGCCACAAAGCAAGGTGACTTCCATTGTTTGGCGGTTGCTTACTGCTCAGCTTCAAAAAACAAAATAATTTTGGGGGTTGCTCATAAAAGAGGGACTTGCCACACGTTTGGTCAACAGAATGGAAACTCCACGCCTGTTGTATTTCTCTTGTAGACCATCTTTAGACAGTGCTGCACACACACCTGTAGATGCAGTCATGTTAATATTTATGGAAGGGTAGTTTCCTAGATCCAAGGTTTTTGTCTATTTTAGATTTTGGAAAAAATAATCTCTCATTTCTCAGGTGATGCTCACAGAGAGAAAACATGCTTCAGGCTTTTATGAGGTCTTTAAACCATCTTAATAAAAGTGGTAAATTCCTGGCTGGTGGGCTGGCTGGCTGTCGTCCTCAGGGATGGAAGTCACTGTTTCTTCCCCCGCCCCCTCCCTGCTCTTTCCCAAAGCATCCCTCCCCACACCTCTCCCTTGGCAGAGCTGAAAACAAGGGTCAGATTTATTATTTTTTTTAAAGGAGGGGATTTTAATAGAAGAGCCAGCCCCTGCACATGGAAGACATGAGATTTGATTTGCTTACACACATGTAACTGGTAGCAATATCCATGCCACTCTTCCAGTTGAATTTTACACAGAGGTTTGTGACATTTAAAAATGTAATGAAAACCAACAACGGAAATATATTTGATCCCTTCTCTCCTCACATTATCCATTCAATCGCCGCTTTTTGTGCCTTCATACCAGCCTGACAGATTCAGACGCTCTTGTGGGGCTTTTGCTTGTTGTTTGTGAGTTTTAAAGCCACGCTCTGGCCGAGACTCTGAGAGTGTCTGACCTGGAGTGTGGGAGGGGTTCCCATTCAGTTCTTGGTGGGTTAGAAAATACCCTGATTTGTAGATTAGATTCCTCTCCCCCCCCCCCTAAAATAAATTTATTTTCAATTTAAATTCTCCCCAAGATTGCATTGATTTTCTAATTGGGGTTTAGGTTGCCCCAGATGCATCTGCACAGCAACCCCCTACCCCCACCCAAATGTAGTTTCGCGGTCCAGGTGGATTTAGCTCCTTCGGTTTTATTACAGTTTGACAACCATGCAAGAAGCCAGCTAGGCTTTAGCTTGTGGCACCTGCAAGCCTCCTCTGAATTCATCCTGAAGGGGACACTCCCTGCTGAAAGGAGGGACCGAGTGCTGGCAGAGGAGCCCTGGGGGCAGAGTGGTTACCTGTGGGGCTGCTAACTCTGTGGAGAAAAACGAGGCTCTCCAGGGAAGCATAACAGTCTCAGAAACCCACAGGAGCAGTTTTTCCCCTGTCGTATGGGGTGGCTGTGGGTCAGAATCGAGTTAAGTTTGTGTCCGACCAGCCACCCTGCTGTGTTGGATGTCTAAGGGGAGCTTTTGGCTGTTTTTGTTTTTTCACTTTCCCCCCTTTTTTTCTCCCCTTCCCCTCTTTGTTGTGTTTAGTGATCTGGGATAAGAAACACCATGCTGGAAGATACTTAGATTAAATTTGCCGGTTATGATTGTTTTTTCAATTATAATGATGCTCTCATCTTTCCTCCCAGCCATGCATCGCAAATTAGATGCAGGTACCATTTAATATTCAGTGTCTGGAAGAGAAGCCCTTGCCTGAATAAGAACACATGACTATATCTGGTTTTATTAAGAGCGTCACACATTGAGCTACATGGGAGGACACGTCAGAAAGGCTAGCTATGCTTGTCACATTTTGGGAGAGACCACTAGACTTCAGATCTAAGTGTAAGGGACTGTTAAATTGCCCGAGGAGTTAACTTTGAAAAAGGAGGGTTTTCTAAGCCTGAGAAATGAGTGATTAACAATTAGGTGATTAATCATAATTTTTTTTTCTCTTTCTCTCCTGAAAGTCTTGCACTGACTCTGATTTTTCCCATTCTCCCCCCCCCCTCCCCCAGATTGATCCCAAAGTTGCATTTCCTCGCCGAGCACAACCCAAGGTAAGTAGGAGAATCAATAACCGGATTTTAGCACTTAGTGATGGTTGCCAAGGGTTTCAAGTTTCAAACGGGATTGGCAGTGAACCGTTTAAACCTGGTTCCTTCAGGATGTCAGCATGTGGGGAGCTTTGCAAGATACCTGTGGCTTCTCGGAGTTAGCCACCCCCAGGTGGGTTCTGGGCATCCACTGGGGGCTGGGGCACGTATGCCCTTCCCTCCTGGTGGAAGGACCTGGTTCTGTTGGCTGCCATCTTTATGCAAGCTTTCAATTTACGTCCTCCGCGTTGGCTGAGGTGGGGTCAGGAAAAGCTGACCATTTCCTCAGTGACTTTTTGGGGGGAGGGTCCTCTTTTGAGGCCTTCCGACTTGGAGTTTATGGAGAGGCGTCCAATTCAAGTAAACAACGTGTCCTCTCTTGGGAGAACTTGGTCAACCGAGCCCCGAGAGCAGACGCAGCGGCTGTGTTGCTCTCAGGTTGGGTGGCTGGATGAATCAGGGCACCCTTAGAACCGACTGCTTATTTGTACAAGTCCTGGCGCCCGGACAGGGCGGTTTTGAGAAGGTTGTAACCCTGCAGGAGTGGCACTACAAGGCTTGCTTTAGAGCATTCAGATAGGGCTTCACTTTTTCAGAAGTGTATAACTAACAGTGTTCTCTGTGCCAGCCCAGCCGTCCCCACGGGCGCGCAGCAATACCAAGTTAGTAAGGGTAAGAAATCGAAGGGCTGGGGCTTACGTGTGGCTCTTACCCTGGGTGGTGCTTCTTTTCTCTTCCCTGGAGAACGTTGACGCATGTTCTGCGTCTGTGGTGTGGGCACTGTCTTGGCGAAAGGAGAAAGGTTGAGTTCTGACTGGGTCATCAGGGGCACAGGCGCTTTCCTGGCTTTAAGACATTCAGTTTGCTTCTTTGAATATGGGCTCCCAGCCACGGTGCTTTTCAGTGGTGGGAAGGCAAGGAAGGCTGGTTTTGCAGATTCACAGAGACAGAGTTGGCCACTGCAGAGAGTTGGAGGCCACGACTGGTATGTGTGTTCGAAACGAGTGCGCTCCTCGTTTGACAGCTGGGTAGACCGAGGCACACAACTGGGCTGAAGAGCCATCTGCAGTCTGGCTGTAGGATGTGTCGGGACCTTTGACTGGTGTGCCCACTCCTGGCCTCTCTTGCGAAGAGAGAAACCCATCTCTAAGTCAACAGTGAAATCGTTTACGGCATCTCTCTAGTGTTTAAGCAGATAATAGAAATTAATGAGCCATAGAGGTTAGATGGTTTCTGAACGAAGCACACGTTTCGGGACTGTCTGGATGCTCCGAACTTCCCTTTCCAAGCGGCGTGGGCTCCTTCAAGGATCAGAAAGCACCTCGGAATTAGCAGTCTTTTCCGGGTCTGGTAGAATTGCTCTTTCTTCTGTGAAGTGTGAATCTTCAAATTTCCAGGTTAGTCATTTGATCATGCAGAACTTGGGTCGGATGACCCTGGGCACGTGGAAAGCATTCCTGATTCGCTTCCAGCAGGGCCGGTTTTTGGTCCTTCTCATTGTTGTCCCTTTGCACTATCCCCCCCGCCCCCACTTTTTTTCTTTTTTTAAACAAGAAAGCAGTACTGCCCTTAAAAGAACGATGCATTTGGTTTTCCGTGGATGCATTCAACTTGCGATTGGGACAGAATGTGTCTCAAACTTCTCCAGACCTGTACCCTCCCTGTCTGCCCCACCCAGGAGCCCTGAGCTGTTCTTTCTGGGGATGACATTTTTTCCATAGTGAATTGTCGTAGAGGGGCACTGCATTAAACCAGTTAGGGCAGGACCTCCGCCTGTGAACTTCTAGGGGATTTAACAAGAGCACTGGTCTCTAAGGACCCTTCACTTTCCAAAAGCATCTCCCATCCGTTATCTTTATCGGAACCCAGCTCTGCGCCTTCGATGGCGTTTGCTGAGGCAGGTTGACGTCTCCCGGCCCCGGTTTCTCTTCTGAAAGATGGGAATGATGATGGTAGCCCTTTCCAAGGACAGAGGTGGATGCCGAGAGTGCCTGGCATGCCCGCCGAGGGCCTGATGACTGCTTCGCCTACCGGTTTCACCACCACTGCTGTGGTGAGCCCTCCTGAGAACCTGCGTAGACCAGGCTGCGTCTGCGCGTGTGTGAGCCCGACTTTCACTTCCCAGAACTGGGGCTTTCCCATCTCACAGCATTTTTCTGTGGATTAAATAGATGAACAAAAGCAAAGGGCTAAAAAATGCTTAAGAAATACCACCTGAGTGTCACCCGAGATGCTGAGTCGTATTTCTGTTCGGTCGTCAGAGACAGTTTTTGATGTTCCAGGCTTGGTTCTAGGGGCCGTAGGTATATTAGATAGTGGTGTGCACCCACCTGCTGCCCTTGGGTTGATGCCGACTGACAGCGACCCCGTCTGACAGCTCAGAAGTGTTCCCTAGGGTCTCCAAGGGAGTGCCTCTTTATGGGAGCAGCCAGCCTCATTGTCTACCTGTCAAGCACCTGATGGGATCAAACCACTGACCATGCTGTTAGTAACCCAAACACTTAGCCCACTGTGCTACCAGGGCTCCTATCAGTACGACTCCAGTGTTATAGATGATGAAACTGAGGACGCCCCCCTCCACCAGGCTCTGGAACTCGGGCCTTGTCTGGTTATGTGTGTGTGTGTGTGTGTGTGTGTGTGTGTGTGTGTGTTGGGAGGGGGCATCACTTCACTGTGGTCAGGAGGCAGACTCAGAGAGGTCAGCAGGAGGTGAGGAACAGGCACAGCCAGACTCTTGGCACTGTTCAGCCTTATAATCTCAGGGCCTGTGATTCACCCTCCTCTTATGATGTCATCGCATTGTGTGACACTGCCTCGTAGCATCTCTCCATCTGACCCCCCAGGGCCTCCTTTCAGATGGTTCTGGGCTTGCACCACCCCAGTGAGGCAACTGGGTAATTGATGAGCTGTGCGGGCAGGCTTGGGAGCTGGGCAGGGTGGCGGGAAAGGGCCGCCTCTGTCTAGGGTGGTTTTCCAGTAGGATTTGGGCCTGGCCACAAACAGGCTTTCAGACTAGAGTTAGTGTGTGGGTGGGAGGGGTGCAGATGCGCCCACCCAGCCTGCGATGGTGATTCTTTATTTCCCCCCCAGAAATCGTGTCTGTGTCCACGTTAGGATCGCCATGGCAGGGGGATCCGGGTCTCCTCTCGGGCTTGGTGAGGAGCTTGTAAATGATATGTCCGCGTGTGTTTCAGTTAAAATTTTCATCTCTCTTGCTTCCTGGCTGTCCCTCTCTGCTAACACTCGTCAGAGAAATTATTCTGTGGAGGTGTTAGAACAAGACGGCTGGACAGAAACTGTAACTTAATTCAGAAGAGAATCCTCGGTGGCAGAGAACGGGTTTCCTATGAACTCCGTCATGATAGTCTTTAATGTCTCATATAAATAAAATTCTGTTTTGATTAGCATTTTAATGAGGGGCCGAGGGCAGGGAGGGTTTGGCATGGCTCGTGTACTCCTCATTGGGGTGTGAGCACTGTGCCCGGTTCCAGAGTCCTGAAATGGGGTCTCATCAACGTGTGGAGGGGTGACCACTTTAGGGACCAGTGGCCATTCATACGTGAACTTCATTTTGGTCGGTGGCAGCCGATGGGTCCACCGGTCTCTTCCTATCTCTCCTCATGATCATTTCATTTTGTAAAAGATGTAATAGCACCCCGCTCTCCCGCCAGCGCTGGATCCTCTAAAAAATTCACATGGTCGTGCTGCCCGGTGAGGAAGACTTAATTTGAAGCCACTGGCAAGGGGAAGATGAGGGGATCAGTCATGTCATGTTCGCCCTTCTGTCCCTGTGGGCAGAGAGAGTCGCTGTCTGGAGGGATTTTGCTCAGGGCCCTTCTCTCAGATGGAGACACCCAGAGGGGATGTTACCTGGCCAGGCTCCTTTACCTCTTGCAGCAGGAGGGAAGGGGGAGCCTGAGCTGCCGCACAGCTGCCTCCTCATCCTCCCAGGTGCGACACAGGCCACCCCAGAGGTTCACCTGTTGATCGAAGGGCATGTCCGTCATGTAAGCGAACTCCAGCTACTTCTGACGGAAGCTGGGTAAACCCTGGGCAGCTCAGCCCTTTCTAGCCTTGGTTTCCTCTGTAAAGTGGGCAGACTGAGCGTGCCCACCTCACAGCATTGTCTTGAAGATGAATGCCAAGTTCTTCCCCGTGCGTCGGGCACAAGGTGAAAGCCAGCGTCAGAAGCCTGTGGCCATGGAGCGAAGGATTCTGACTCGTGGCAACCTCGTGTGTGCAGGGTTGACCTGCTCCACAGGGTTTTCCTGGCTGCAATGTTTGGGAAGCAGTTTGCCAGGCCTCACTTCCAAGGCACTTCTGGAAGTGTGTGATGTGCCAGTCTTTCCGTTAGTAGCGGAGTGTGTAACTGTTTATACCACCCAGGGACTAGCCCCTGCTGGTATTAGTATGATTATATTAGGTGCTAATACTAGGTTTGGGGTGGAGGCTTGCACCACTGTTTAAGGCCCTACCCAAGTGGCTCAGTGGACTTTGTGACGACAGACATGTGACCATCTGCTCTGGTGGTTCTCTCTCTCTCCGTCTAGTTTCCTTGCCCCCTGACGTTCTCATCTTTGTTTTAGAAAGGTCTCGTTGACTGTTCTTATACAGGTGATTTTAATTTTTTTAAGGAACGCGGTATGCTGGTATTATTTTTATAGTACGAAATAAAGTGTCCTGGTGGAAAGAGCCTGAGAAAAAAACCTGGTTTGGCATGAAGAACTGTTCATTGGTGAGAGGCATTCAGTAACAGGCTTCCCTGTCTCCCACTTAAACTCTGACATGGCTCTGGAAGGTTCTAAGCACACGTCCCGGTGTGGCGGAGGCCTCTCCAGCTCCTTCCATGCCTACCGCCTGCTCTGGGGGAGGGTTTCTTGGCAGCTTCTCAAGGGCGAGGGGTGCGCTCTCAGCATCTGGCCTTGCCTTGTGGCCGAGGGTCGAGCTGCCCATCTGGGATGATC